AATACATGAAGTCTTCTCTTAAGCCTAAATTAGGCTAGTGATATGATCGGGATCGAATTAAATGATATAATTGCATGTAAAATAAGTTCGTATATTCCACTATACATCAATTACACCCAAACTTTAGTTCTAAAAGATTTTGAAGTCAGCTTACATTAATCGATACATAATATTAAAGGCAGAAGGATTTACATATTCTGTTGCATAAGAAAAAAACATCACATTTTGTTTATGTATTGTTGAGTGCTTGAGTGAACCTACAAAGCATAAGTCTTATGACGTTTAAAATACACATATTAGAGAATCTAAAGTTTTATACCTTTTAAAAACTTGAATAATACATAACATATAGAAAAATCAACCCATAACTAATATTACATTCTAAACTTTTAGAGGCCCCTACAAGAGTGGGGCCGGTGTCACAATAAGCTAAAACACGACCCCGTATTCCACTATACATCATAACATCCAAAGTTTAGTTCAAAAAGTTTTTGAAGTCAGTTAACATTAATCGATACATGCTATCAAAAACATAAAGGCTTACATATTCGGTTGTATAAGAAAAAAATCATCACATTTTTTTAGGTATTGTTGAGTGCTTGAGTGAACCTAGAAAGCATATGCAAACTCCCCAAGGGGAGATGGTTGAGATGTCGCCCGAACTAATAAATTTGGATAACGCTTATAAGTAACATGAAAATTGTCGGGCGGGCATCAAATTTGTATTGACCAATGAAATGTGTGAGTAGAGTTTGAGACGAGACCATGATAGTTGTCTTGCAAATTGAACGTTGACCTTTTAGGCTATATGATAATAAATATATAATAATAAATTTGGAAAATGAAAAGAAAAGATATATATTATTATAAGCCGTGGAAAAAATGATACGCCCCATCCCTGAGGCCCCTCAATCCTGACCGGACGGTACGTTGGGAGGATGTAAATTGGACTATAATTCTAATCTGATAGATAGAGAGTGAAACTCTGTTCCCGGTACTTGCAGAAGCTCTATGCTTTTTTAGCATAGTAATCCCTCATCGCAGTTGTCGAGATTCGAACTCGGGACCTAACCCTTGTGGAACTTCTTTGCTGCCGGTTGAGGTAGGTTCACCCGTTATAAGCCGTGGGAAGGAAATGAAGTTGGTTCTTTTCGTCAGCAACCCTTCAAAGTTTCAATCAGATGTGAGATGCTCGTCGTTTTGGAAGCAAGTTGGACCCTAAACTTTATTCCTCCACGGCTCCACCCAAGACCTGTCTTACCGTCTTATTCATACTTTTTTATTCTCATCTTTGCGTTCGCTTATGGGAAGCTCAGTGCCTCCAAATCAATTCCACATTTGTCTCTAAATTATTTCAATCCCTTTTATTTACAAAATTTATTTTCAATTCATTTTGCAGAAAAATAATACACTCCATACTCTATGTTCCAAAAGATTGAATCCCCGCCCCCGAGGAATTTCCACGTTCCGATTCGATAAGGTATTTGGATGTAAGGATGTTTTTACTTGGACTGTAATTTGCTGGTCTGGTCTGATCTGATCTGGTCTGGTCTGATCTGTACTGATTTAGTCTGATCAGGTTTCTTTGTATTTTTATAACTATCCAAGTCTGGTCTGGTCTGGTCTGGTCTGAACTGGTCTGGTCTGAATTGGTCTGGTCTGGTCTGACCTGGTCTGGTCTGGGATGAATTACAGTCCAAGTAAAAACATCCTAAGTCATGATGACTCAGTCAGTCTAATGTGATGGACCTTATACCCGTGCGCAAGATGTCCAGCCCATCACACAGGAACTGTAACCTCCACACGATTGCTGCAGGTTTTGATCCTTGATCATTGTTCCAACTTTCTTACTACTCAATCAACTGAGCTACCGGTGCGGGTTTACACTCCATACTCCAGACTCTAGAGAAGGAGATAAGAGGAGGCTAGAGGGGCTTGAGCCTTCGAGAAAACAATTGTGATTCATATGAAATCACTCTTAACCTATTGATTTCATGTGTCCCCAAGTTCCTAACACAATTCTCAAGAGAACACACATCGATTGGTCAAATACTTTCAGCTTATCAACAAGAAGTTAACTCCCATATTTTCGCTTGAATACTTAAATTCAACATTTCAATCAGAAAAACAACTTCAATCATATTTTATTATCTTTATTATAACACAACTCAATATGTGAAATCAAAAAATTTTATAAAAAATGACAGATAAAACCTAGATGCACTCCGTATTTGATTTGCTCCAAACTAAATTTCTTTCCTTTCGTTTTGCTACGTTATAATATACGGAGTAAATTTCTTTTTCATTTGATGACAAAGAATGTATGATTCGCGATGCTTCTCTTTTACATTATTCTTGGTCATATTGTTTCATTTTTTAAAATTGTGTTAACTTAAAATATGAGTTACGAGTTATTATTAGTTTATTTCATGGAGGGTTTAAAAAATTTCACTAGGAATCAATAACTACGGAGTAATACGAAGGACTACGTATCTGAAAAACAAAACAAAAATTATTTTAGCAATCATCACACTCCATCTCTTTCGTAGCCAACATACGGAGCAAAAGGAAACAAGATCGAGCTGAGGAAAGATGATTCCGTTCGCCGGATCTTACTGCCAGTCTACCACCACCAGTTATTTCTTACCTCGCCGGCCGCCGGCGTCCTTAAGTGGAAGAAGTCTCCCTGGACCCTCCAGCTCACCAGCGTACGTCCTTGATGGCTTGATATGAATCCGGTAAAATCAAGCTGGAATAGTTTTGTGATCACTAATCATTGGAAGTTTTATATACCAATTAGATTAGTTCACATCTCATTTCAATTGAAGATCAAAACTTTTGGGAATATTAACGAATTAACTCCACTTTCGGTGATATGAGTTTTATGTCAATTTTACGTTTAGTCAACGTCTTTCACTTTGTCCACTTATGATACTCGACTAATGTTATTGATCATCTGTGATCATTTTCGTCACTTTTAACCACAAGAAATATCGACAGAATGACTATATATAAGCGTAAAACAATAGTCATATACCATAAGTGATCAAAGTCAAAGACGTGAACCAATTGTGTAATTTGTGCGATACTCGTAGGATTAAAAGTGGAATTTATTCAAGATTAATACGAAGTATTTAATAGTAGGAAGTGTGATGTACTCTTGTGAGATCTTCTCTTCTTTATTAGCTAATTGCTATATTTATTTAATTTAAAGATTGAGTTTTTATAATTATTATTCATTATGCATCTCAAAAGTTAGATATTGGAATTTGGAAAGGGTGCCCTTGTACTATAGTATTTTTGCAAAGTTTCATAGTTTATTAGAGTGCCACTTTAAAATTCATTTTTCGTGAAGATTTAAATCGCCCAGTAATCAACAATTGATTGTCTAATTACCAAATAATACACTCAAGAACCGTCATGAAAATTGGTAATTATAAAAAGCATTGATGCATGTTTTACTATTTACATTTTGGTTTAATAGTCACGAACACATGTCTAATACTTTGTATTTCAATAACATCACTTTGACACTCTCAAATAAGAGATCACGGGTTCATAACATATCACATCAAAGATGTTGATATTTAACAGAACATATACTATAATATGCAAGAAAGTACAGTCAAAAGACAAATAAATACTCATGAATGCATGATTTATAATATGTGAGAAAGTACATAAAAAAGCCACAAACTAAATGGTGCGGGACACGATAACACAACAAGTTCAAGTCTCGAATTTTTGAAGCCTAAACGGGAATAGGTGAAAAAAGACGTTTTAGATTTCTATCGACAATTAGGTAGTACTACTACTATTTATGGTGATATGTGAAGAAAATAATGAATGTCAAAAAACCATTATACAAGATTGAGCCTCATTTTTATTTGTTCAATATTTACACTTTTTAAATGTATAAAAATGCAAATACAAGATGAGAAATTGTTACTTTTTACTACTTTGTACTGAGTATTAGATTTCATATATGATATGAGTATAAAAGTTGTCTTTTTTAAAATGTAATTAATTTTTTCTTTGCCAAAATGTTAATCTAAAAAACTTCCGTGTTTTCAAGTCTAGTCTTCAACCTTGCCTTTCGTGCCAAGATTTGGGCATATTCACGATTTTTATTGTCAACTCTTCACTTGATGAAGAGTTTATCATCTTTTCACGCCCTTCTACCATGAGGTGTTTTCCCTCCGCCTCACGCCTATGCCGCTAGGCCAGCCTATTTTGCCGCCCATCATTAGGCTGCTCCGACGAAGTTAGGAGCTTAATAATTCGGCCCTCTCTAAAAGGCTCTCCTTTCTCTCTTATATTAGTTGTTCCACTCGAAACTCCATTCATTTACCTGAGATTGGAGAGACTCCTACTTCGAACTCCTAAAAAAATTGAACTACAACAAATGACTAATTCTGAATCACAATCGAATAACTTACAACCCCACCCACAGAGAAGAAGCGTTATAGCTCAAGGTTCTTTCTTGTTCGATAAAGTTTAAGTAAATCTAATATATGAACCTAGATTAAATAAATATTAGGTTAATATGACTGGTTCGAGATGATTTTAAAAAGCTTTTGCATCGATCTATAGTTCAAATATCTCTTTATGTGAACACAGGTTGCTTAGATGGTTGGATGGTTCCTACACATCAAAGGATATTAATTTTTACTTAAAGAACCTCTGAACTCCTAATCCAATGTTCTCCATAATTCAATCTCAAAGGTTCTTCAAGATATGATGAATACATGTTTTTAGAGAATTCATATTCTTATCATCAGAATTCTTCCCAAAGCGAGTGGAATCTGAATTTAAACCAGAAGAAATCTAGTTTTACCTCAAGAGATTAAGAGAGTAAAATGAAAACAAATAGAGGCTAGCCTGTTCTCATAAGTTCTCGTGATCATATAAAATTTGTCATTGGAAAAGTTTTGACGTTTTGGAATAGAATTAGAAACCAGTTCAAGCTGCCCCCACCCCCCTCAACCCACCCCCAAAGACTTCTCTACTTTTTTAGTGTTACAAAAGATGCGTCAAAGGGGAAAGTAGGAGTTTGAGTCTTTCTCACGCCAATCGCCTTTCCTTTCCTTCTCCCCCAACTTCTTCTTCAACACTATAAAAGCATCCCACACACTCTCTACCCCTCACCCATCTTTCCCTTTTCCTCTCCTTTCTCATTTCATTCTGCACTGCACGACTCAACCAATACCTTTTCAAGCTCTCCATATTCTGTTTCTTTTTTCATTCATTTATTCTTAACAAAAAAGAGAGGCTTACTTCAATCTTGTCCAAATGGAGAAGTTGCATTTTGTGAAGAACGGAGTCGTGGTTCGCCTACCTCCCGGTTTTCGGTTCCACCCCACGGATGAAGAGCTGGTCGTCAAGTACCTCAAATGCAAGGTTCTGAGACGCCCTTTGCCGGCTTCCATCATCCCGGAGGTTGACATATCCAAATCTGATCCATGGGATTTGCCAGGTAAGCCTTGTGCTAGTCTGCTACACTACACATTCATTACTTCTTTAGTTATGACGCATAGACAATGACACATATAGAAACTTGAATAAATCCTCAGGTGATTTTGAGAAGGAGAGGTACTTCTTTAGCACAAAGGAGGTGAAGTATGCCAATGGGAGCAGATCAAACAGAGCCACCAGCTCCGGGTACTGGAAGGCAACCGGACTCGACAAGCAAATTTTGAGCAGCGGGAGCAATAAGGGCAGCAGATACCACCCGGACGTGGTCGGGATGAAGAAAACTCTCGTTTTCTACCACGGGAAGCCGCCTCACGGGAAGCGAACTGATTGGATCATGCACGAGTATCGCCTCAGCAATGTTGCAGAATCGGTAAGATTAAATTCCAAAATCGACATATCCAAAATCATACGAAACATCAATGATTCGATTAATGATACTAAAATTTCAACCTAGAATCACAAGTCCAGCAAATTGTGCTCACACAAGCAATGATTCAATTAAACATAATGGAATCACAAGCCAATCCATATGAAATATTACAGAGAGGAAATTGAGCTTATCAAATCACTGTTTACTCACCATTTGTTTTCTGAATTTCCAGGAGAATTGGGTCTTGGTTCGCATATTTTTGAAGCAAAGAGGGGGGAGGGGTGAAGAAGACAGCAGGCAGAACCAGTACATAAGTACAGAGAATTTGAGGACCGGGAACCGGGTTTTCTACAATTTCATGGCGAGGGGAACGGCGGCCGACGGCGTGAATGTGGTGGTGGTTCCGGGTTCGCCGTCTTCCGGGTGTAGTGGGGTTACGGCGGAGGTTTCATCGAATGAAGATAAATCAGACGATAACGAAGAGAGCAGTTGCAATAGTTTGGCCAGTTTTAGAAAACAGAATTAGCTTATAATTAGAGTTTGTCAAAAAAATCCAGTTCCGGCCAGTTTCGTCCGTTCGTTTTAGCTTGTACCAATTTCAGATAAGTGAAGTTTCATTTCAGACTCTCACCTTGAGGGTTTTTACTCTTCCTGTAAAAGTAGATTGACTTTATGTATTTGCTTACCTCCGGAAATGCAAAGCACAATAAAATTTGAGAAATATGAATTCAAAATGTGTGCCCATTTTTTCTAATAAGTACCAAGTATTTTATTACTCCTTTCATCCCGCTAATATTGTCTTCATTATATTTGCTTGAAAAATCTCATTAAAATTATCTCATACTACATTTTGATAAATTTTGTGTGTTTCTAATTATTCTTACTTTATCAATTAATATCAATCACATTAACTATTCTTACTTAATAACTGTGTCACCACCTTGGTTCTAATATTAGTGAGACCATTTGTTTTGATTCTCTTTCCCTTGTTGAAAAGTTCGTCTGTTTTTCTTACAGCTATTCCGTACAATTTGATTTTTCTTTTGGTGCCTTTTTCTTTTGGTGCCTCTTATTACAAATATATTCTTTTGTATTGTTAATCGCATCTGCTATTTCTTGTTTTAATATTTATTAAAAAATATTGAGCTGATTGGCAATGCCTATTTTTGACTTATCAATCATCTTTAATAATAAACACATGAGTTTTTATTTGATATAGAATTGTGTAGTAATCAAAATATGTTAGATTGAAGTTACTTTTGTTGCTAGATTAACTTTATAACAACTACTTTTATAAATAAATTTGAATATAACTTTTCACGATTGAGCAAATTCAACAAATCTAGAGTCCGTTTAGAAATGCTGAAATTGATTGAATTGACTAATTCTGTTGAAATTGATTAAGCTCATGCTCAATTGGCTGAATTTACTGAATTATAATTTCAACAAATTCAGCCGGAAAAATAACTTCAACCTTACTTATTTTGATTATTACACTTATAATTCAGCTCGCAAAATCATAAATTACGTGTTTCGTGAAAAAATGAATCATGAGGCATATAAGTCGAAAATTAATATCACAAAAATGGGGCCGTCTTAATCACTTTAGCCACAATTTCACCAATTTTAACGTATTCAGTCAATTTCATTATTATCAAACGTGACCGTGGTTGTAATTAATACGATTCTATGAGAGTACGGTACGTTTTATATTGTTTTTAGGGGGGAATGCGTTTTATATTGTTTATAAGGCTCATATATTTTACTGTAGTCTATGTTTTTCCATTCTACAGTCATTCTTATATGTTTTCATCCCACTAAGAAGTAAGAAATACAAACATATTAACTTAAAGAGTAAATCATATTTCAGTTTTATTGAGACTTACGAATTGAAATTCAAACCCAAGGACTAAAATAATTTTCTTAAGCGTTTTTTCCTTGGGGAGGAGGGGGGCTTTGCAACATGTTTACTACTTTAACTTTGTGAAACAGAATCCTCTTTTCGGTGCACGTAATAATAAGAATAAGAACATTATTTTTGCAAGATCATCCATCATCAACTTCTAATTTACGGGCTACAAAAAGTATAACACACAAAAGAATCGAGTTCCATGATTCTGATTCGTCCTGGTGGTAAACAAATTGTAGGAAGTTTATTATTGCCCTACTCTTCATTATCTTTCTCTTTATTTAGGGAGAATTCCCAAAATAAGAATAAAAAATGTTTTGAAATTCCAAAATAGGAGTATCATGTTTATTATTCCTTGAATATGAGTAAATTTCTGCCAAGTTTGGCATTACTAGGTTTTAAAACATGGCATTTTCTTTCAAACTTGTCAGATTGCTCTTATTCAGAGAACAAAAAAAAACTTGATGATATTCCTGTTTTGGAATTTTAAAATGTTTTTGCTCCTATTTAGAGCAATTTCTATTTCTTTTTCTAATACACAAGTCTTTCCTTTTTATATAACTTCAATAAATGATCATTTCACATTTTTATCCTAAATTGACTTGATATAAACTTTATTTTTATTGATTCAACTACAAGAATTATCAAAAGATGTATATAACAAATTTATGAGTTCTCAACGTTATTATCTAGTTTAGTTTCGTGGACAAGAGTCAAGTCCTTTATTGACTAAGATATGAAGGTGAGAGCTAAGGAGCTCAAAACGTAACCATGATTTTTTACTAGACTTATAAATCAACTTTTTCATCAAACACGTAACTTTTAGTTTCACGAGCTGAATTGTGTAATAACAAGAAAAAATAAGGTTGGAATTACTTTTCTGGCTCTATTGAATGAAGTTACTTTAGGAGGCAATTTTAGCTATTTTTTCATATAATTTTTTCTTTATTTTATTAATGAAATATTTTTTAAATTATTAGTTTTCACAAATCAGCAGAATCAGCCAATACAACCACATCAGTCGGAATTTCATAAATTTTAGCAGAATCAACCAATACAGCCGATTTGACTATTACCAAACGGGCTCTTAATGGATGCACTTTGGCCTAATTTCTTATATATAATAATAAAGCACTGAAATACCTTCTACAATCTACATGATGTATTGTAATTCTCGTATTTCAATATGAGTCAAATGTTATGAAAATCAGCACTATCTTAACAATGAACTAGATTAACTTTGAGGTTAATTATTTTAGCTCTCAGTTTTTAATTAAGAACATTATGTCCACTTGGGTAAGTGTTGTATATGAGTTTATGATTGTTAACTGGATTTTAAAAGTTGATTTGCAGTCATTTGCATGTGTGCACGTGAGATATATTAGTATAATACTTGTAGTTGGGGGCATATAGACCTCAGCAGGTGAAAAAAGAATGCCACAAAGAAATGTTCCAAAGGTTCAATTTCAAACATAGACTTGGGTTGGATTATCATATGCATCCTCTCAAATAACTGTCTGATCGGTCTTGATGAACTCTCGGGGATGGATTGTAATCCTTTTTTAGTACGTAGTATAATACTAAAAATTTATTTATATAATAGAGATTACATATACAAACATATAATTAAGTTTTAATTTCCCGTTTATGGTTACTTCTTGAAAGTTGAAACTTTAATCTCTTGTTCAGATATTGTCCTTTTGAACTTATAATTCATAGTTCAAATTAATAAACTCTGTAAGTATCATTTAAACACATTTTTCCCTACCCACATTTACATTTTATATAGTGCTACTCTGACATTTAAAGTATATTTCTTCCTCCATCACTGAGTCTAAGTATTTCTTTTTCTTTGTAAAAAAATGATAAATTGAAAATAATAATTCCAACTATTGCCGGTTCGCTAACAATAATCTCAACTATTGATTATTTTTGTATAATCCCAACTATATGGACTGTCCGTCAATAATGGTCCATGACCGCATATTGTCTGCTCTAACAAGTGAATTTTTAATAGAAATTAAGCGTGAAAATTAAAATTTGGGATTATTTATAGGGATCACATGCTATATCTCTTTAGAAACTATATGAATTTATTTATAGTTGGTCACGTCGGACCATTATTGGCGGAAGGTCCATAAAGTTGGGATTATTCTGAAATAATCAACAGTTAGGATTATTATGAGCGGGCCGCCAATAGTTGGGATTATTATTACAATCAGTTTTTCCAAAAAAAAACTTCTAGTTTTGGGGTTCATGTATGCTTGGATTTGCCTAAGCTAAGATGAAGAAAATAAAACAACACTTAAGTGAAGGCTTTAAGCTTACTCAAAATGAAGCTTTAGATAATTTGTTTCACTTCATTCACATGTTTTTCTTTTCCATTTTAAAACCCTACTCCACTTTTTCGGTCAGTTTCAAACTTGAGTTCTCGTGTTTTTCTTTTCCATTTCAAAACCGTACTCCACTTCTTTCACTCTGTGTCAAACTTGAGTACATAACTTTCTTTCCTATTTTTAGTAGCGAGAGTGACCTAACAATCAACTATCTCAGTTTTTTGTTCAATTTAATCTTATATAGTTTGTGGTTGAATTTGATCTCTGTTGAATTACATAACGAGCAATCGTAGCTTGTACCACTTCTATCCCGCTAGGTTTGGTGGACGAGGAAATTATTGATTAGTATTGAATTGATAAAGTAAAAATAAAATAAGAATGTTCGAGAAGTAACAATCATTCAGAATTACACAAACACTGTCCATTTTGATATAAGATAATTATTATATTGAAACTAATAGGTTTACTTTATCATCGAAATAATTATTATAGTGAACTAGTTTTATTATTATCAACTACTACATTAAAATATTTTCACTTAGATTGAAATTTTGTTCTAATTTAGTTTGGTTCAGTATGATATATTGAAGTGGTATGATTTGATATCATCTTGTTTGGTAGTTCTATTATATGTATATATTTTAATTATTGTTTAAGTTCAGCCTAAGTCTTTTTTATTTAAGTGTTATATGATCCAGTCTGAATATCTTTTAGAACTAAGGATTGGATGTTGTTGGATGTTGTTGTATGATCCAGTCCGAAACCAAAACTAGTTCAAGTAGAGACTGTTTATTCTTTGTGTTCGATTTTTCTATGTTTTTTTACTTAGTGCTATTTTATGATATTTATTTATTGATTTAAGTATTTATCGTTATTTAAATTTTCTTGCGAGTTGCTAAGAGCTCAACAATTCAACACTTCTCTCATTCACTTTTGTATCTGACATTTCGTTTGGATCATATCATCATTTTTTCGTCATCAATTTTGATTTTCACAGAGAACACACAACATGGTTACAGAGTTTAACTTTAATACTATGTGACTCAAGGCTCAATGCTAAAAAGGTTAATTTTATCAATGTGCCAAATACTTTAGTATATGCTTTCATGTTATAGACTCACTAAACTGTCTGCGCTTCTTTGTTATGAAGCAACAATCAGTTCATGTAATTTTCGACGCGATTTTCACTATGAGTCATCTGAAAACAGTCTCTTTGTGCTTTAGTATAGGGGTAAGATTGCGTATATCCGACCCCCTCTTACCCCACCGTAGGTGGAGAGCCTGTGTGGCATTGGGGTAATGACATGCTTTCATGTTATTAGTATCATGCTTTAATATTTTAGAAGATATTTCGTAGTATACCATTTACTCGATCCAAAAACGGAATAATGCATCACAGTGTATCTCTTCGAGTTCCATACTTCATTACAAGTAAATAAACACAAAACATTGAGAATATTGGCCGGCAAGCTAAGGCGGTGACAATAATGGACAAAATCTCTATACAAGTGTCACACACAACCTTTGAGTTGCAATAAGTACACAAGTTTATTTGATTAATTCTTTTAATTTGTGCAAATTCCATTATCATTTATCAATCATTCATCACTCATATTTTCAATTTTGTAATAACGATGATCGATTTACCAATTATTACTAACATTGACAATACCTATATATGTACGAAGTCCATAAAGTTTCACAATCCCTCTTATAATTATTATTATCTTTTTCATCAGATGTCCCCAAAAGAAGTCTTGGTACATGCTAAAGAAGGAAGAAAGCAAATTTACATATTATTAGTACATAATATGAAAGAGATGAGAGTACGTATTTCTATGATGGGAAATTGCCTAAATAGAAGTGAATAGGTTTGAGAATTCTAAAATGGGATATCTAAAAGGGAAAGTTCCCGAAATATGACTAAAACAGTTTGAAAATTCCAAAATGGAACTATCATGTTTTTTATTCCCAAAATATGAGTAATTACTGCTCAGTTTAGAAAATACTGTCATGTTTGAAGTCTGTTACTGCCGAAACATGACAGTAATTAGTCATATTTTGGGAATAAAAACATGGTAGTCCTATATTGGAATTTTCAAACATTTTTAGTCCTATTTCGAGTAATACTCTCTAATTAAAATGGGGTTGTTGTATTTTTCTGAAATAGAAGTAATATGACATTATTTACTCCTAATTCAGGAAGAAATTAAACATAACAGTCATATTTTGAAATTCCAGAAACTATTTACTTCTATTTCAAGTACTCTTCCTTCTTTGATTTACATCTTCTAAGAACAAAGATCTATTCTTGCAAGCAAATCTTTTTTATTTATAACGTATGATTCCTTTTCCACAGGTTCACATTCTCCTTTTGAGCTATATTACAAGCAAACTCTTGACTTTATCAAACATGTCGTGCGCTCAAGAATTTTTCCTAGCGAAAAAAAGAAAAATAAAGTATACTCCTTTTTGAGACAAAAAAGTAATCACTACTTTTCTCTAATTAAATTACTGAACAAGCAAGCACTTGTAAAAGTTCTATGGTTGACCTGTCCATAATCTTTTCTTTAAATAAATATCACTTTCTATGTTGAATTATTTTTACTTTATAGTATTTAAAACCAACAAGCAACATATATACCCTATGCAAGAGGTAGAATACAGTTCATTGTCAACCCCCATATTAATTAAAGTGCCTAGATTAATGTGAGAAAGGTGCATTAAGGGTGGCAAATGGAGAAAAATATCACCAGTGGTTGACAATTCTATGGTTCCCTGTGCTTGAGGCCAAGTCAGTAGAATATGAAATACGTTTCTGACTGGGCAGCTGATAGCGTCTCTCTATATTATAGAGAAAGTGAAGTAGACACTACTAGAAAAATGCCTTACAGTGACACCAAATTAGTGTCACTGAAAGTTTCTGTGACACTAAAAAAGTGTCGCTGAAAGTGGGGGCTAGTGACACTACAAGTGACACTTTTTAAGTGTCACTACAAGTATCACAAAATTGTGACACTACGATATCACAATATGGTGACACATTAGCAACATAGCTATTCGACGACACTTTTACATCATATACTTTATTGACACTAAAGTATCACTAAATAGTGATACCTTGGCAATATAACTATTCGGCAAAACTTTTACATCACATATTCTAGTGACACTACTCTATCAAAATATTCTGTTTTCCATTCAAAAAACATGATACATGATAGTATATTCTTTTATATATATATACATATATATATATATACACATATATATATATATATATATATATTATTTTAGTATATATATTAATAGAAATAAACCAAAACATTAACACTAACCACACTCTCAAACATTTTTATTTATATCTCAAGATTTCATATGAATGTACATGACTCATAGGGGCATACCCCGGAAACCATAAATATAAGCAAGTACAACTCAAAAAACAAAACACAAGTTACAATTATAGCTAGAATTGAGATAAAGCACGGTCTCTAGGACATAAAGCAGTCTTTAAGTGCCAAGCCTCGACAACGGCATTCTTATGGAAGTAATCAACAACATGTGCTCCCTTTTCCCCATTCACATCAACTTGTCATTTCACTACACCATATATAGAGACTAAACAATAACAAAATGCATAATTGGAGAAGTATTAAAAAAGATCACTTATCACCTGTGATAATAGAGAATTTAGTAAAAAAGGTACAATGCATGAGAGAGATAGTGTGTAAGAGAAAAACCAAATAACATATTGGTCTGAGTTCAGATGAAATATCTAACAAAAAGAATGCAATATTGTTTACCTGCCACCTTGATCTGAGTTCAGATGCAATATCTGCAACAATAACCAAACATTATATTTAGGAGATGAGAAGAGAAAAAATGGAAAGCTCACTCCACCAATCCAAACAAGAGCCATCCAAACAACAGCCTTCAACTTTTTCACTGCACAAGGTTTTCAATTTAGAAATAATCAGTTTTCATGCTCATTTTTGTTATGCCCTTTAGTTATGTGAAATAACAAAAAATAGCCCATTTTAAAGAAAACTCACAATGGACTACAGAGGTAATATAAGAAGCGTACCAGATAGCAAAAATGCAATGAGATTGAGAAAAATATACACGATGGAGATTAGGTGCCACACAAACCTAGGAACTACAAGACAATTAGTCAATAAATGACTACATCCTCACCTGTTTCAAGGTGCTCCCTCACCTATTTCAAGGTTATAAAGAATAAATGACCAATAAATATGAAGTTTAAGAAAGACTACATACAAATTTCTAGAAAAAAATTGAAAAACTAACTTTAGAAACAAAACCATGTTCAAAATGAGTACTCTGAATCATAAAATACACCACAAGACTTCACAAACAGATATATCAATCATCAATGAGAATATAACTAAAAGCAAGCTCAGCGGATTATAGAGCATATTTTTGCCTATGGTTGGTTTACCACTTTTATCTGTTGTCAGAAACCAAGCTTGTTTAAATTTTCATCAAACTCTCCAGCTTCTCTTTGCTTGTCCTTCACACTCTACTACTCTATGGCCCATTTGACCACATAGAAAACATTTTTCTTGCTGCATTTAGGACATCTAGCAGCTTGCTTCACAACCCATCCCCAAAAGAAATTACCTGAAGTGTTAAGCATAGATGCATTTGTATACATTTCATCAAAAAGTACCGGTTCTTGAGCCATGCATTCCATTCGGTGCAGATGTTCCTCATAAAAGAATTGCATTTCATTCTTTGTCAGAATCCCATTTCCGTCAAAATCTATGCATTTGAACCTGTTTGAAAAGTAAACATGTTCATACCCAAACTTGTTCATGATAAAAAACAACCAGTAAAAAATGCTCTACATATGTCAAGTGCAATATTGTAAATTCATAATACAATAGAACATTCTATTCGTGAACCTTTTCCTAATGCTAAAAGCAAGTAAAATAAAATATCTATAGAGGAAAGTTCAACTCAAGAAAGTAGACCACTAACACAATTTCAGTTCCAAATGATAATATTTGCAGGTATGTATGCTTTTAATTCAACTTATTTTCAAACTTCAAATATACCCCTTGTCATCTAGTTTGGTATCAAAAGCCTATTTCACAATATTCATATCCACTACTCGCAACTCTCAAGGATACAATAACTAGTCTACTGCCAAAATTTGCCATTTGTTAAGTGCTTCGTTGTATGAAATCCAAAGAGAGAAGAAAAGTTTTAGTGAAGCTACATGATACTTCCATGTAGCCTTAAGTCATAAATAGCCTTAAGGCCATGGGATTTAACAATACAACTCACACCCCAATTATTTTTCAAGTCATAAATAGCCTTAAGGCCGGGAAATTTTCTGGTAATGTATCCAACAAGACAAAAACCCCACACTTCAACCATAGTGGGCAGCATCCTATCCGAAAAATCCAAGGATTTGCCTTTCGGCGGAATATACCTCAATTTAATGCCATTTGATGGAGCCCTATTATCCTTAAAGAGAGAATTCCAAGGCTTTTGACCATTCCCTTGCACAGTTGTTATTGCTTCATTAATCTGTCTTGGAGACTTGGCAGTAGCCTCTCGCATTGCTGTAGGATTTTCCTCCAAAAGCTTTCCAGCAGCATATTCCTTTGATTTTATCCCAGTCCCCTGCTTCCCAGCCGACTTCAGTAAGGTATCAGTGAGCTGCTCATCCCCAAGTTTAGCAGCCTGCAAGTCAACGGCCAAAGGAGAAAGTGCAGAGTCCTTAGGAGCAGCCCCAGAACTTGGCAGATTCACCAACGTCTGCTTCCCAGGTATCCCAGCGTGAAGGGTAGGGAAATTTGCATCCAAACCTTCCAAAACATTGAAACCTGCAAATGTCCTAGACAACAAAATTGCTCCAACAATCTCAGATAACTAACCTAAGTTCGCAAAATTTCATGAACAGTAAAAATCGGACATGAACCTCGTCGTTGCTAGGGTTCTTGACCGTCAATCATGATTCTGGTCTCAAATCCAAGAGCGAACACACCTGTATTCCAAATAACACACCACGATTCTAAACCCCAGTTACTTCTTATTGCGTAATAGATTCTCACAGACATTTCTCGACAAGAATTTGTAATATAACCTGCAGTTCTAATTGAAGGAGAGTGCCAGCTGAATCTGTAGGGCGAAGTCGCAAGGACCTGAGGTCCTAAGTAGCGTCCGGCAAGTGGCGATGTCGTCCTGGCAGTGCATCCAACGAGTGGCGACGCTGTCCAAGCAATGCATCCGGCGAGTAGCGATAACATCTAGGCAGCTCAAGGCAATGCGTCCGACGGTGGCTTTCTTCGAAGTCAATAAGCAGCCGTCGATGTGCTTGGTAGACGATTGACAGGCGGTTGTGTCGTTCTTCGCAGAGGATCGACGATAGATGCCGATCGACAGTTGCACACCCCTCAGCTCCGATGTTAGGGTTCTTCAAAGGAAGAAGGCTGAAATTTCGAAGGAATGAAAGGTTGGATGGCGTGAATGTGTTAGGAACGAAATTACGGGCCAAGTGTGTAGGAAATGTGGGCTTGAACGCGTGAGCCAGGGAGGAGCCTTTGCTCCCTAAAAGAATGTAGTGTCACTAAGCAATACTAATATATTTTGTTAGAAAATAGTGACACTTGTGTGTTAGTAATGTCATTTTATTAGAAAGTGTCACTATAAAAGTGTCACTGTAAGCCAGTTTTCTACTAGTGAGATTTTTGCCGGAAATTCGCCTATATTCGTAGAGTATTTGAAATGGATATTCTAAATTATCGGTCAATCCGTGTCAAAACTATGTAGATTTGGTAACATTTATAGAGAATATACTTGTATACCTAAATATATTCGTTAGTGGACCTAGCTCAACTAGTACATAATGGTGTCGCAAGAGATAATTAAGTCTCGACTTCGATTTCCTACTACTACGATGAAAGGTAATATGTAAAATGTATAGGGTCTTCACAAGTACATGCATCATTTATACTCTCACTCGCTATTTATATTAAAGTATAATTTACACCCTTCCAATTAATTATTCAACTAGTACTTGGGCCTCGAAGAATAGGGTGTCATCGTATAACCAGATATTCAAATGAATCAACAAAAACTTAGGGATCACATTATTTATTATACTCCGTAATTGATAAATGCGGTATGATAATATAATGGTAAATAACTTCAATTTAAATGTATAATATTTATTGACAAAGTATATCATGTTGATAGTGTTTTAACTTGTAATATAAGCGCATTTCATTTATATATTTATATAAAATTATCATTTCCTGATTTTATTCATTCATTTTTTATACTACGTAAGTACGCATCACTTACAGATTTCATATAAGAGTTACTTGAAGATTGAATCGTAGAAATTTGGGAATAATGAGAGTGTTTAGAAAATGACGTTCCACTCAATATTTTCAGACAATCCGTCAACTTATTTCACTAGTCAAATCTTTCAATTGAGTATTCTAAAAACATCCGCTAACATAATCTGCTATTTGGTAATCGTTAAAGGCCAAATATAGAATCTTATGGTTATGGTCTATGGAATTGTATCACCTATCAATGGAACATGAGTTTAGGGAGTTACCACCATAGGGAATGACCCGCAAACGCAAAACGGTGCGTATATTTTTTTTCCTAGAGAAGGAATTGAAGTTGGGTAATTACTTTTAGTTTTTTATGAACACATATATATGTGGTGTTTCATGTTTGGTAAACGAACCATCATTCTTTACATTTTTTCATTGTTAGATTGAGAATGATTTGTTAGATTCATTTTTTGGACTATATTGACTGAAGTTATTGTAGATCATTTTAGCTATTTTCATATAATTTTTTCTTTATTTTATTCAAAAAATATATTTTAAATATATTTGTTTCATAATTCAGCATATCAATCAATTTAGCCACTTGAGCTGAAATTTAATTATTTTGGCATATTGAACTAATTAAGTCAATTTGTATATAACCAAACTAGCTTATAGACTCAAATTTATTTAGTTGTATAGTTTGATTTGATCTGCTATAATAAAAAAAATTATATTCTGTATGTATTATACTCTTGACTAGGCCTAAACTTATTTAATTGTGGTGTGGTCTAAATGTTTGAGGTGAAAACACGGTTATTTATAAGATCAATTGTCAAAAAAAAATATCATGCTTGTTATGCCAAACAGTTTTACGTAGCTATTTTAGTTTACATGGACTTCTTATTTTTTATTTTAAAATCTAATTGACTCTCTAATTCTACCTATTTGATTAACAATCTTAAGATTTTTTCATTTTCTTTTAAGGTTTTGATGTGGTTTTTCATGGACTTTAAGTATTGACAATACTAATTACTTGGTTTATGCTTTATAAGTTGATACTAATTTTTTTATATTTTGGTGCGCGTCTCATCAAAAGGGTTTTACTGCTTGTATACCGTGGCGGAGCCACATTAGTTAAAGGGTATTCACATGAACACCTAGAATTTTGAAAAATATGTTAGATATAAATTTAGTTTAATTATTTATTGTCTTTTCAAATTTATTTTTAGAAAAAAATGAACACCATAGTTTGAATTATAGATCTGCCACTGCTTGTATATGTGTATTATAGAGAGTGGAGTATGAATTTAAAAAAGGAAATGAAAAAAGAAGTAGAAGAGGAAAAGTGCCGACAAGAGTTACTTGTTGCAATGGTTTTGGTATCACCTCAGGTTGTTGGAGTCCTTCACGTCACCGATTCTATTATACATCTACCTCTCTTTCATAAGCTGACCCCTCCGGCCGTCACGCCCTCACATTGGGCCCCTCCCCGCCCGACCCAATTGTATTTTTGGATCTTACAAACTTGATGATAATCCTTTTTTCGGTTATAATTTACGTATAAAGAAATTAAATTGAAAGTTTTATAAAGTTGTAAACTCCAGAATTCTAGCGAACGTCTCCCCTCTTTGTAGGGGTTTGAAATTTTCCGCCGCCCTTACCAATATGAGGTGGGAGCGGCAGATTATAATGATTTTAAGTGTTGTAACGTTTGGAATTGCAACCACGCCGGAAAAGATAGGATTGGCGGATGAACGAGGTGCTGCTTCGAGGTTGTATCGAGGCAGGATCGTGAAGCCTTGGTCGGCCATTCCGACGATGGCGGAGTTTGTATTCATCCATATTGTAAGAGTCCATCCTCTTCCGGAACCATGTCACCTCTGTATTGTTCTCGTTCATTTAATGTATCAGTTGCTAATCAAAATGAAATTATTCTTTAGTTTGTACGTTGTTTTCAGGGGTGGTCCTGTACATAGAAACATAAATCGCTGAAACAGCCACGCACTACGTTCTGAACATCACGTACCCAAACGCGGTATGCAAGCGTTCCAAACGCTATTCGGATCGCTATGTAAAACGCTGCAGCTGGCGTTTGCGATCGCTTCCCGAACGATCCCCATCACTAACGAGTTCATTCCCCATCGCTAACTGGAGTCGATCCCCGACGGCATAAGAGACGCTCTAAATCGCGAATCGCGAAGAATCTCGTTGTTTCCACGGCCCTAGCGGTACAGTCGCATTTTCAAACAAACTGAATCATCGTGGTACTACTTTGAGACGTGCAGGTAATAATTTATGTACTCCTCATTTCAGACGCCTGTAGTAATAGGCGTATTAAAATTATACAGCCCTTCGTTTTGAACCAGCGTTCCAGACTTCCAGCCCTTCGTTTTCTGGCCCCAATTATTCGTACTCATCAATTTTACATTTTAATTAACTCTTATAAATTGAGGGAAGATGTCTTTATAGTACTGTTTTTTTGTTTTGCTTGAAATGTTCTTGAATAGTAATGTTTTTTCTTTTGTTTAATGTTATGAAATCATGTTATGAAATCTGTTTTTGTTCAATGTTGAAATCTGTATTATATAATTCAATTTTATATTTTTCTTATAGTATCGAAATATTAGGTACCACGTGCCGAACATATGATACATCGTACCGAACGCGTACCAAAATGAACCTACCCCCTCCGAATCGGATACGCTAGATCTAGCGAACCGTGTTCCCATTTCTCGTTCCCGTATCGAACCGTACCGCGAACCATGTGACTATGGTCCTGTATATTTGAAGGCCTATGGGTGAATGATTTAAAATAGGTCTATTATAAAAAAAATATAAAACTCGATTCCGTCTAAATTAACATGTAAAATAATAATATTTCAAAAACTTTATAATAAAGAAAATACTTGAATTCATTAAATTAAACATAATCAAATCACATTTTCGAAATAACTTTATAATTGATACTTTTACCTAACAAAATCAATCAATAAATTATAACACTAGACAGCCTACAAATCATGTATTCAAATAGGTGTTACTGAATGTAAGAAGATAACATGTTTTAAACTTTTGGTGGTATATTTTTACCTATATTATCACAATGCTATTGGCTAAATGCTCGTTAAAATGCCAAGAAACACTCCAAAATATTACTACGTAATAAATTTCAGAACTCAAATATTTTAAGCTCATATAGTCATATTTTCACTCAAAGCTCAAAATTTGAGAACTCAAATTTTGGCTAATGGTGCACTCATTATAGATAATAGATTGCCCCAATTACTCTTATACGAAGTAATTACAAGGCGCAAAGCCTATACATTTATTTATGTGAAGCTCAACTCGAAAGGTGTTATACACAGAAAAATCAGTTCCACGTTTTAATTTATTAATTTTTTTATTTATGATATTTTCTTAAGTTTTTTTTAAATGAAACGAGACTAGTTATTTACTTATTTTCAAGTATTTATAAATATTAAAGAGTGAAATCAATAAAAAGTATAAACTAATCAATTGAAATACAAATTGTGGAATAAAGATTAAGGAAGGATTGAAGGAAGTTGCTCTCACTTGAATATTTGAAGGCCGATTGGCTGAATTGCTTCTGGCTTCTGCAGTTCTGCTTGATGCCGTTATCCGTTGATGTTAATTTGCAGATGCGGCTAGTCAGCTACTCAGGCTAGGTGTTGAGGCGATGAGGCCGCGAGGCTGTTAGTCTACTACATAACTCCAACGCTGAGTTTGAAGACGGGAGTTTCCCTAATTCAATTAGCCGCAAAGAGCTCCGTAGTTCCTTATTCTTGGGCATTTGGGTTGTTGGGCCGGCCAAAAGTAGTAGTTTAACTCTAAAAACTCAGCCTACTCAACCCAAATATAAAGAAAAAATTATGGACCCAAATTTTTTTCACTTTTTTTGGGCCTATGTACCCTGCCCCCCACCCAGGGCCGCCCTTGGTTGTTTCGTTTATATTTTAATGTTTATTACTATATATATTGATGATATAGTAATGATTTAGGTGCCCATCCAAGACATCTGAGCTGGTTCTGCGAACTGTATGTTGCACGATCGGTTGAGGACTGACGAAGTGAGGAGCAGCTGGAAGATGGGCTCAAATTGTATGCGACAGTATATACGATAGTACTATATAGAATGATCCGCAATACCGCAACTCTAGAAGCGGACAAATTTTGAAAAGCAAACTTCCAAACGCATGATCAGGCCAATACTGACTAGACCATGGCTACATTCTCTGACGCCTCCCAAATATTTCTTCTCTCCAGAAGTTCTGGACTGTCGCTTCTCATCCGTCCAACTGACCAAGGAATTAGGCACAAACTTGGCAATGCAGCAAGACCCGGAGTTCAATTTTCGCGCATATGCAAACATGCTTCAAGAATGCATCACAAACTGTCAGTTTGCGTTGGGAAAGTCTCTTCATTGCGATATTATAAAGAGAGGTGGCAGTTTAGACCTTTACGGGCGGAACATTTTGTTGAACTTCTACACCAAGTCTGACTTTATGCCTTGTGCTCACCAGCTGTTTGATGAAATGGAGGATAGAAATATGGTTTCATTTGTTACTTTGATTCAGGGTTATATGCTACTGGAGCATTACACTGAGGCTAGTGAATTGTTTGTTAGATTGCATAGAGAAGGTCACGAGCTTAACCCATTTGTCTTCACCACGATTTTGAAGGTGCTGGTGAATATGGAGTGGACAGAGATGGCTCAGAGCGTCCACTCATGTATTTATAAGCTAGGTTATAACTCAAACCCCTTTGTTAGCACGGCTCTTATGGATGCTTACTCTATATGTGGCCTTATTAAAGCTGCTAGAGAAATATTTAATGGAATTCTTGGTAAGGATTTGGTTGCATGGACTGGAATGGTTTCTTGTTATGCTGAAAATGGTTATTTTGAAGAAGCACTTGACCTGTTCTGCAAGATGAGAACGGCGGGATGGAGACCAAACAACTTTACCTTTGCTAGTGTCATGAAAGCTTGTCTTGGGTTAGAGGCATTTTCGGTAGGGAAGAGTGTCCACAGTTTTGCTTTGAAGACTAATTATTTGGTGGATCCTTTTGTTGGTATTTCCCTGCTTGACTTGTACACACAGGCTAGAGATATCAAGGATGCTAGATGCGTGTTTGAGGAGATACCAAAATATGATGTAATTCCTTGGAGTTTCATGATAGCACGATACTCTCAGAGTGACCAGTGTGATGAGGCTTTGGACTTGTTTCGTCAAATGAGGGGAACATTTGTTGTTCCAAACCATTTCACTTTTACTAGCGTACTGCAAGCGTGCGCAACAATGAGCGAGATGGACCTAGGGATGCAAATCCATTGCCATGTAAAAAAAGTTGGTCTTGATTCAAATGTTTTTGTATCAAATGCCCTCATGGATGTATATGCTAAATGTGGAATGCTGGAAAACACAGTTCAGTTATTTATTACGGGCTCAGTAGACAAAAATGACGTATCTTGGAATACCATTATCGTTGGCCATGTGCAAATGGGCGATCATGAGAAAGCAATGACTCTTTTCATGAATATGCTCGAACTCCAAGTGCAAGCTACTGAAATCACATACTCTTCCATTCTGTGTGCTTGTGCCCGGCTAGCTGCACTAGAACCAGGCATGCAAGTACATGCACTGACTGAAAAAACCGTTTACATCCAACATGGTGCTGTTGGAAATGCTTTGATCGATATGTATGCAAAGTGTGGGAATGTTAGGGATGCTCGTCTTGTCTTTGATACTTTGAACGAGCGAGACTTAGTCTCATGGAATGCTATGGTCTCTGGATATTCCATGCATGGTTTAGGTAGCGAGGCCCTGAAAATATTTGAGACGATGCGAAGCATGGATATCAAACCTAATACCTTAACTTTTGTTGGCGTTCTTTCAGCATGTAGTAACACTGGTTCATTGGATCTAGGAGAAATGTACTTCTCCTCAATGCGAGACCATTATGGTATTGAACCTAGTGTAGAGCATTATACTTGCATGGTGTCACTTTTAGGGCGATTAGGTCATCTTGACAGGGCGGTCAAAATGATCGAGGAGATTCCATTTGAGCCCAGCATTATGATATGGCGTGCTCTGCTTGGGGCATGTGTTCTCCATCATAATGTCGAACTTGGGAGAACTGCTGCAGAACGTGTTCTTGAGATGGACCCACTAGATAATTCGACCTATGTGTTATTGTCTAACATTTACGCCACTGCAAAGAAGTGGGGTAATGTTTCGTTTGTCAGGAAAAGCATGAAGAAGAAACATATAAAGAAGGAACCGGGACTAAGTTGGGTTGAAAACCAGGGAATGGTTCATTATTTTTCTGTTGGAGATGTTTCACATCCTGATATTAAACTAATTCATGCAATGCTGGAGTGGTTCAATTTGAAAAGCAAGGCTGATGGATACGTTCCGAATCTTGATTCTGTTTTACTTGCTGTTGAGGATGATGAAAAGGCACAGCTTTTATGGGTACATAGTGAAAGGCTTGCTTTAGCTTTCGCTCTGATTAGAACTCCGCAAAGTAGCCCAATTCGTATCATTAAAAACCTCAAAATATGCATGGACTGCCATGCAGCAATCAAAATTATTTCAGCCCTTGTGCACAGAGAAATTATTATTAGAGATATAAACAGATATCATCACTTCCAGGATGGGATTTGTTCTTGTGGTGATTATTGGTGATACAGTCTGATTTTGGCTTTTTAGCAGTCACTGGATGCCTTATTAATCCATTGTATAATTGAAGCTTGTGAGTTCAGCTTGAAGCTAGGATTCTAGATCTGGCTATGTGCTGAAAGTGGTGGTGCATGAATGCTTTCATAAGGCGCTATGAAAACATTGGTCAAAATCTGGACGATCACCTGAGTGGAGTGCTGTTCATATAAGCAAAATGTTATGAAAGTATGAGGTAAATCAACGAACCTTTAATCTATTATTTTTATTTCATTTTAGAAGTGCAAATTTAAAAAACAAACATGAAAATAAAATCCTTTCTTTTATTCTGTCCTCAAGTGTTGAAATTGTTGTTATCATCAGTATCATCATTGCTCTCTTCATTTTACGGAGTATTTCATTTCGTTTGTCTTACGCGTGCAATTAGACAATATTGAAACATCTTGCATTCTTTTGTATTTAATAATAAATAAAATTATTATATATTGAAACTAAATGAGAAGATATACTAAACATAAACCAAATTGAATAATTATAAAAAAGTGTTTGTGAAAGATTGTAAGCAAAGAAGAATTGATTTGACCAAAGAATAATAATAACTACTTCCTCCGTCTCGTATTTAAGTTCCTAGTTTGACTTCACACATATTAAGAAAATAAATTTATTGATAGGTAAATTTTACTGTAGAGTACGGTGTTTTGCATTGTTTTGCACTGTTTTGGTGCATATTTGTTTGCCAAATAAGGAAGTGTGAACTTGTTTGGGACATCAAAAAAGGAAAGTGTGAACTTAAATACGGGATGGAAGGAGTATAAGGCATGTAAAATCGGACCAAGGAAGTATATATATCATCATCACTATGTTTTGAGGCACTTTTGAGCTTTTATAAGTAGAGGATTTGTCAAGACCATTCTAAAGAACCTGTACTTGAAGATTAGTGTTTGCTTATATTATAGGAGCCGAAAATGTTTTCTCCATTTTTTGGTTCTTTTTCGGTATGTAAAACATATTATGCATTTGTTATTGCAATTAATTCGATGTATTGCAATGTCTCCACGACAGGTGACATATTGCAATGGCAGTATGGCAGTCCAGTGGCACCGCGCCGTGAAACCCCACCATAACAACACTGCTTTTCCTATCCGGCTAATTTGCATGTTACATTTTATCGATTGTACAACTGTACGCTGAGCTGTTAGGAGGCTTACTTTGACACTGCTTGGACAATGATAGAGTTACATTCACTCAGAACTAACCTGATAGGTCTTCAGAGCCTCTCCACCTCCGCCTTCTTCACTGGGTGAGGATATGATAAAGAACAAGGAAAAACTGATGTAGTGCATTTGAGTCTCCCTTTCATAGGAAATTTCTGTTCATTGAGTCTTTCTGTCCTCGAATATCTGTTTTGGGCTTGCAATTTTCACAGTAAATCTGCCTAACCTAAAAATACATGGCATACAACCCCACAAAAAACACAACCTTAGCACTCCTTCAGGATGACAGTCTATTAGGCTTGGCATGAAGTCAGCAAGTTAGCTGTCAAACCATATCAACTTATTTCATATCTTTAAACTTAAAAAAGCCTAAAAATCTAGGATTTCTTTCATTCCTTCCCAACTTGTATTCTCTCTTTGTTTTTACTGATTTCTAATTTGATTTTGCTTCAATTTTCTTTGATTTTTGATAAATTGGACGAACAACGAACACAATTGCATTGCAGGTACTTCAGTTTTGATTTACTTTGTGTTCATTAATGAAAAAATTAATATATATGGTTCATGTACATCAATTTTGATCTATGTTTTTTATTTTTTAAACAATTAGTGTTTTTGGTTAGAAATACTTTAAAGTAGTCATTGTTGTTTGCAATGATCGAGCTTATGACATACCTTATCAATTGTTTATTAAGGATTTGAAAATGGAATGAGAATGAATATCAAATAGTGGTAATACTCCTGGTTCTGGAAAATTGACTTCTTTTTCAATGGTTGGATTTGTCGCTTAATTCGGTATAAATAAATTCAATACAAAGAGTGTCCATTCTTTCAAAGGATTATTATTTTTTCTATAAAAAATATACAGAACAACTTGTTTTCTAAGAGCTTTCAATAAACTGACCACATTTTTTCAAAGTGAGACAAGTATTCCCATAATACTAGACAGCTAGCTGCTTTGTAAGAACATTTACAGGCAAGAAGAAGATCGCGAAAAAGTTTTGTCTAATCATTTTCCGGTTGTGCGTTGTGTTACACACTTTAAATCGGATAACTTATCTGAATAATATCTCAAATTTGTGGAGGAGATACCAGAACGATAATATTGCAAAAAAAAAATTATGGTTACAAACATATGAAATATATATTTGCATTTCCTTGTAGTTTTCTCTCCCTTTAGTGGAATATTCAATATTTAAATTAAATAGTAAGTATTGCACTCAAGAGAGAGAAAACTACGAGAATGTGCAAATATATACTTGAATTATAAGCATTGCAATAATCAAAGCAAGTATTTGATCTTGAAGATAAATTACAAACTATCTTAAAAACTTCAGTTTTTTCGGTGTGGGAATTATGTAACCTTAATGTGGAAGTGTCATCATCTTATAAATCATCATCCATCTTCATGTCCTCTTTTTTGAATTTATCAATAATTTTCTTAGTATAGTGGCATTGACATTTGCATCGTGAAGTTTTCGGCAACCAACAAGTATTCCTTGTTTCCATTCTCTCTTTTTTATCTTCTAAATTACATGAGGTTAATCCTAAGTCATGTCTCTAATAGTGGTGGACTCGGGTCGGGTGGCTCGACCCGGAACCGGGGGCTCGATCGGTGACCGGTCCTGGTAGGCCCGACCCGAGGGGTTTCCGGTCCGGGCTCGGGTCACCCAAAACAAGGCCCGGTCTGGTCCGGCCTGGACCCGGTGGTTACCCGGGCCGGTCCCGGGTCAACCTATTCAGAATCGCCGGCCCGCCCGGGCCTAGGCCCGACCTGGCCCCGGCCCGGTCTGAATCCACCCCTAGTCTCTAATGTTTGAAGCATTTAAACTAATTTTATTTGCTTACGTAGTATTATTTCTTCTTTTCTTTTAAACGATGAATTTAAGAAAGAAGAAATAACATTTCTCCATGCATATGGTGGATTGCCTTCTTCAATAAATTGGTGAGTAGCCAGAGTAGGCTTAAATGAAAAGGGATTCATCATTTTATTGGAGATCTTTAAAATTGAAAATTTGATGAAAGAATGGTTTGATTTTTATAAATACAAATGTGAAAAAAACAAGGAACATCATCTCCGTTGGGATGTTTATAAGGTATCGACGTTACCTAAATATGCGGGGAAGATGCTAAACTTAATATTAGTATTATATTTGTGTGAAATTTATTGCTTTCATGAAAGTATTTTTGATAAAGAACATTTTATTAATTCTTTTATTCTAAATTGTTTCGTATTAAAAAACATCATTAGAAAAACTTGACCATCATTGAACAACAAAATTCAATATGGCCAAGTTTTTTGAGACAAAGGGAACACATTAATTTAGTTTGGGTTTATTGAAGTAAAGCGTTTCGTAATATATATTATTCTCAAACTAAATGGTTTGATAGGGTTTTAAATTAAAAAAACGTAAATCGAATCAATAATTTTAAAAATATATAAGAATACTTTATATTTGTCTTCATTCTTCATGTTTGGAATATAAATAAATAACTTAGATATGAAAAAATGCATATTTAAGCTTATACTTTTTCAACTTTACACATTTCATACATTTTGTTAAGGTTAAGTCCTAGAGGTCTAAAGGCCCAACACAGTCCTTAGTATTGAGTAGGGGCATAGCTAGGGGGTGGCCAGCTCAGGCTCTGGTCTGCCCCAAATTTTAAAAATGTCTATATTTTTAGTGTAAAAAATTCTGTGTAATTTTTTTTCCAAAAATACTTTTTGTGCTGGCCCTATTCGGCCATGTGCACTGGCTCCACCTCTGGTGTTGAGGTTAGGTCCTAGAGGTTCAAAGGACCATCACAGCCTTTTGGTTTTGGTAGGAGTCCTTTTAAGTGGGTATTGTTTTTATGAGTATTTAGGGCAACAAAAATGTAAGAACAAACAAATATTTAAAGACAAAGTAGATCCAATTCTATTTGAAGCGTATAGAACGATTACAACACTTCTGTCAAGCGGAGCTCCGAACCTCTAGACTAAGCTGAATGCTATGGAAGAAACTAGAGATAATTGTAATGCTTGAAAATACAAAGTTGTCAATCTTTTACAATGAAATAAATGTTGATATTTATACTACAAATTAGTAGGTGAATGGGGTGACGTGTCCAACTCTAAGTGAATGAACCCTCAACCATACAATCTTTCATATCTTGTGCATTGAATGCGTTTCAGACAATTCGGAGGTTTCCGTCAACTCCTTGAGGGGCGTTATTGTTTGAGCCGTTGTTGGATCAAGTAGAGAAGCTCAAGTGAGTAGAATGGGCCGTACAGCAATGCCCGTGCGGGATCGTTGAATGCCCATCCTGAATTTGGTACGGTGGTGATGGGTCCATATGTAGATTGGACTGCTTCCAGAGATGGGTCTTTACTTTGCTGAGACCTAATATCTCAACAGGAATCCCTCACTTCTGATATTCCGAGCGAGCCCGGAACATAAGAACATATAACTCCGGCCTTCAATGCAGTGCGGCATGGGAGGATCAGAATTTACGAGGTGGGTAAATCAATTCTTGTTCAGCGTTGGTTCCGATCATTTAGCCAATATACGAAAGAATTTAAAAATAGTTGAACCAGACAATTAATTCGGTCCCATACGGGAGGAACCATAACTGATTTGAGCCAGTTGTAGTCCAAAACTAGAAAAGTGGGCTCAAGTCAGGTCCAAACCCAAACGGAGACCACTTATGTCTGCATATCAATTTCATTGATTCAGCTTTTTACTTTTATCTACTCATTTGTGGAAGATGTACACAATTAGGGTTGGATTCGGTTCGGGCCACCCGGCCCGGCCCGGCACTGTGCGGGCCCGGGACCGGCCCGGTCGGGCGGTCCGGGACCGGGTATGGACCCGAACCGATGGGAAGGGGCGGGGCGGGCTCGGTTCAGGATTATTGTGACCCGGCCCGGCCGGGTCGGGCCCGGGCCCGGGTCCGGGCCTCTTTTTTTAAAAAAAAAATGGTTGGTTGGGCTACTATCCGTTGGGGGTGGGGCTGGGGACAACCCAAACGGCTATATAGCCGTTGGGTGGGGTAAAGGGGGGGTCTGGGGGGTTGGCTGGTAGGGGGGGTGGGGGGTGGGGGGTAAAAAAACCTATAAATACTCCTAATCTTAAACATTTTTTCATATCTCTTCTCCAATTCTTCCTAAATCCTATTCTTAACTCTCTACTCTCTAATTCTCTTATTCTCCAATATATTATATATCTACTCTCTAATTCTCTTCTCCAAGAAGTTAAGATGGAAAATCAAGATGCCATTATACGGTATAATTTTGATAAGCAGAAGGACCCGAAGACCGGGATGTGGTACGCAATTTGCAAATGGTGCGAAAAAAAATGTATCATGGGGACTTCAGGCGGATTCGGGATGGCAATCAAGCATATGAAGTCATGTGACAAAGCCAAAGGATCGGGAGGTGCGGGAAGTTCCGATTGATTACAATTTTCAAAATGTTTATCTCTTAAAGTTTGTTTTAATTTTCAAATGTAGTTCCTATTTCATTTCAAATAAATGCAATTGAAGTTTGTTTTTAATACTCGTATAAAACTATAAACTATAAAATATAAATTATAAAAAAAAAATTAACCGGCCCGGCCCGAATCGGACCCGACCCGTGACCCGGGAGGGTGGCCCGGCCCGAACCAGACCCGTCCAACCCTCGGGCCGGTCCCGGGCCCACTTTTCTTGAACCGGCGGCCCGACCGGGCCTAGGCCCGGCCCGGACCCGACCCGGCCCGAATCCATCCCTATACACAATACAGTCTTCTCTCATTTTTTCATTCTAATTACACTTCAATCTACCTTTTTCAAACATAGTAGTATATGTTGGGAATAACAGGATCGTGCTAATATGAGAGAAAAACACTTCTATTACTTTCAAGAATAGAAATAAGAGACATACAAGCTCTAACTAAAAACTCTCAAAAACACCTCACATATCTCTCAAGGATATTCACAACTCAAACTTGGTTGTGCTATGATGATCTATTCTAATTTACTTGATGATAGAAAGACTCTCCAAACTCTCTATTTATAGCACCAAAACTAGATACTATGAAAGTGGAAGGAAGGTTTGTTGAAGCTAGGAGGAAGCTTCAATGGAGGTGTGAGGAAGGTGACTCTTAGGTGGGTTGAAGCTTCCTTTGTCATTCTTGGATGTATAGGAAACTTCATGGATGTTGCTCACAATTGAATTCTTCAGTATATGGGATGGAAGCTTTTCTAAAGAATAAAAAAAAATTACTTTATCTGCCAAATACAACCTCCATTTAACTTTAATTGTTCATTTTTTCTTTTATCAAATTTATATTATCTGTTCCAGAATTCACTTTTCTTATAGTTTTACTCTTAACTTCCATATAAAACTACTTGAGATAGTAAATATAAGCTAAAAAGATATTCTTAGACAACTTGCGTAACACGTGGTCATGACGTGGATATAAAATCGATTTATAACTAAAACCAAATACGCTTAAATTTCTATGCGTACATCAAATGAACTCTAGAATGATCATAACCGTTCGACCTTAAGTCCAATGATTAACATTCACCCCGTATAGACGATTACATGAGCGTGTACAAGGTTCAATTGTAAACTAATCCGTGCACGAAAATATAATATGTTTATGTCGTCAGTCGTTTAAATGAATGTATTCAGTAAAATCGTACGAAAATATAATATATTTAGATCGTCAGTCGTTAAAATGAATGTATTCAGTAAAATCGTCATCGATCGATACAGTGACAGAATCATAAATACTTTGAAGTTATCAAGAACAAATACATTCTTATACATAACTACATAAGAGTGCTTTTCTATGGTGGTTATGAAATTGTCATCATACTCTTTTAGTCATGGCACACATTTTGTATATATGTACACTCTTGTTATGCGCAACTTAATGAATTGATATAATAGTACACTTTCAATGACTTTATTTTCATTAAAAAAATCATATAATGCCCACTACCTTTTTGCCTTTAAATGATTCATTCTCCATTCTTCAAATCAATGGCATAGATGAGATGCCATTTCAGTCCAAATAGCATTTTTAAATTTGAAACAATCTATACACGCATTAATGTTATGGGCAGAGCATCATAAGCAACCCAAACTTTTGTACCAATTTGGCGTGAAGATATGAGCAAGTGACAACTGAAGGAGGTATATTAGAAATACACACTTTTAAGAGACAAAACTTGAAGAAATGGGGAAAGAGGAAGCATGTCCCGTGAACGGAAGCATCAGATTGCTGATATCACTTGGCAATTTGGGCCGTAACAACCACATACATAAACAATAGACGTGTGAATGACTAATGGTACAGGTAGGAAATGGCTCAAATTAAAGAGAGTCCCGCTTCGTGTACACGCCGGGTTACACGTCGTTCAAATTGTCTGTATACAGACAATTTGATCGGCTAGACAGACAATTTTACCTGCGTTTTATGAAGAAAATCGATTTCCATACAGACAAAATATCAAAAGTTGTCTGTATCACAGACATTTTAAACTTGATTTTTTCATAAAGTGTCTGTGATACAGACATTTTTTATTTTTGTCTGTGTGAAAATCGGTTTTCTTCGTAAATCGCCGCTCAATATGTCTGTGTAGTCGATCAAATTGTCTGTGTACACGCGTGTAAAACTTGGCGTGTACAAAAGGAATTTTCCGATTAAAGATGCCTTGATGAAAGCTTTGACTTATTCCAATAATACCCTTGATTGATGTAAACATACTACTCCCTCCGTCCCACTATTACGGTCTCATTGCGGTTTACGATGTTTGATCGACGATCAAGCAAACGGATATCTGTGCGCACCCAGATTATTTTTAGAAAAAATTACAAATTACATATTCAGAAACTACATTAAAAGTTTTACAAAGTAGCAAAATTGGAATCAAATTTGACAAAAGATTGATATACTATCGATATAAAATAAGAGATTAAGAGTGATTTATGATCAAGTGAATAGGAACTGGAACAATAATAATGGAACGGAGGGGTAGTATTTAATTCTTAAGGGCATGAGGGTAAGGAACTTCAGCCTAGTTCCCAAAACCGCTCTCTAAATCACCCCGATTTCACAGTATGTATCATTACTATTCATAGGGGTGGAGCTAGATGCGAAGGAAGCGGACATAAGAGTCAGTGGCGGATCCAGAGATTAATGAGAGTGGAGGCACACTAGACACTAAACGTAGTCTATAATAAACACTTTGGGCCCAAAGTGGGAGCACTGATTTTTACCTTAAGTGCTACTAATGAATTTTCGGGTCCGAAGCGGGGGCACGTGCCCCACCTAGCCCCCCTTAGGTCCTCCACTGATAAGAGTTTATGTACTATGGTGTAATTTCTCTGCAATTTTTTTAGATAGAGCATCTTAATTAATATTATTCTGTAATATATTACTTTTTGTGATGCAATAACTATACCAGTAGGATTAGGTCATGGATGACAATATTTTAAAAGCAAAGTATTTTACACTATCATCGTACTAAAAGAAAAATAACTCACTAAATTGTCAACGCTTCTTTGTTACGAAGCAACAATTAGTTCATGCAATTTTTGATGTGATTACTCTTGTCCTTTAGTCAAGAGTAATGTTTTGCCTACATTTAACCTCATCTTACCTCATCGTGGTAATGTCCTTATTATTGTATCATACTAAAAGAAAAACAAAAGGGTCCATTTTTTACAAGATAGTAAAAAATAAAAATAAAAAATGGAAGGGGATCAGAGCCCCTAAGCATACACATGACTTTGCCCTTGCTTAGAGGTAGTGTCAAGACCAAACCAAGGACTCAAAATGCTCTAAGATTCTGGGACCTTGATTATGCATATCGAGCTAATTCCCAACCTATCTCGTGGTATGATAGTCATGTAATTTCAAACATGTAATTTAAGGAGATGATAGTCATCATTTCCTTTCAAGGTAGAGATTGCATACTCAAATTTCAAACATGTAATTTAAGACTTTAAGCAGATTAGGGTGTACTTTAAAGTTTAAACAATATAAATAGATTAGGATACATTTTTACTATATTACTAAAACAATACTTGAAAAAATATGACAAATTTTTAAAATATTATTGCAAGTGAATTTACCGGTGATACTTGTAACACTTGAGATTTAATTTAAATGGATTAATAGTACTACTCATACCAACAGAGGTGCATCTCCTTTTAAGGGAGCTCATCACCCAAGAACTCCAAAGTTAAGCGTGCTTGCACGAGAGTAGTCTCTTGGGATGGGTGACCCCCTGGGAAGTTTCTCAGGGCGCGCATGAGTGAGGATAAAGTGCGCGGTAAAGGCTCGTGGTGGTTTGTGAGGACAGTACTATTGGTCTAGAGTAGCTACCTCGGGTCCTGCGAGGCCGGGGTGTTACAATACTGCCTAGGGGTGAACCAAGACCGAGCCGGGTTGGGATCCGGTCCGGGCTACAGGCCAGGACTAGGCAGGCTCGGGCTTAAGAATTTCAGCCCGATACCGGCCCGCGTTTTTACCTGGTCGGGTCGGGCTTCGTGATGGGACTGGGCAATAAATTAAAAAAATAGTGCAATCAGGCCCGAGCTCGGCCGGGTCCAGTCCAAATAACGAGCCCGAAGCCCGCCCTTATAGCCACCGGGCCGGGAACGAACCTGAAAAGTAGCGGGCCTGGTCATGCCTAAACAGAACCGGGGCAGGGTGGAGCGGACCAGGGCTGGGGCGGGCCAGGGCCGAGCCAGCCCATCCCAATCCATCCCTAATACTGCCAACATGCTACCACCACGGCACCACCGTTGTTGACATGATCCTACATGCCAACGTGAGTCCGTGACCGTGGATTTCGGCAACTCTCTCGATGCCTTTTCGAACAATTTCCTCTGTATCAAAATATTTGTCTCAATCTCCTTTTTAAGTTGTATCAATTAATAGTTTTATCTTTATGGAAAGAAATCTACCCTAAAATTGCTAAAAACAACTACAATCCACTTTAATAAAGTATACACTATTTCTACATGTATCTTAAACTACATGAAAAAGAATTGGACAATTATTTTGATACAGGAGGAAGTACTTTGTAGAAAAATTATAATTTTTCCCTATGAGGGCTAGTACAATTGAGTTGATTTTGGAGAGTGATGAAACTAGTCATATCTAGTCACTATTTTGGAAAATAGAATTATTCATATTATTGTCTCAAAATGCCGGATTTTCATTGTGTTTCATAAAACCTCGAATATGTTATCTAGGGAGTGCACGTCCATTTCTGTCTGAGACCACAAGAGTTTGTTTTTAATAGGGAAACCTCAAAAATTGAAATACGCCACTTAAGAGGGAAAGAGAAGGTAAAAGAGGAGAAGACAATGAGTGATGGCTGAAAAAAACTGTCTTGCACAAAACTGTCCAACACAAAAGAGAATTTGAAGCTGTATTCTAACTTCTTCAATGTCACAATCAATCTCTTCTTTCACAAATTAACTCAGTGGATTTCCATCTTTAAGTGGCTTCCACATTTATCTACCCATCCATCAAGTTGATATTTATATTTTTTTCTCTAAATGATGATGGACCACATCATCATCAACTAGGCAAATTCACCCCACCCCACATGTGGTTGCAATTTCCTGAGTGAGGAACACCACTACCATCTCTATGCACCCAGAATTTTCAACATGTAATTAATCAAAAGGGTCCATCTTTCTACTTCTGTGATCTGCCATACCAGAAGATAAGTTGACACGTAACAACTAGCCGACACCCTTCACATCCAATTGCAGGCTCACTAGGACAGGAGGAAGCAAACTTAAACGTGACAAATATAACTTCTTTCTACCAAATAATAATAATAATATAATCCATAGCAGATAATAAAAGTAATAGTAATAACAGTCATAAATAAATAAATAAAAACTATTGTCTAAGTCTAACAAGAGATTAAGATGATTGGATTATATTTATAAAAGAAAAAATGGAAACAGATCAATGTATGCAACATTTATAGTCAACCTACTTTAAAAACATCATGAAAAAGCAATCAAATGTAAAGAGCATTGTGCTCCTTTTTCCTTTGTCATCTTGCTTGCTTGCTAACCTTGGTTACCTGTGGATTGCATTGCATTGATATCTCCGGCTTCAACATGTGTAGTTGTCTCTGAGGGAGGAGCTTCAGAACATGCTCTCAGGACGGCTTCATTCTGTAAGAAAAATCAAGCATCTTTTAATTGGAAGAAAATGTTTTATCCTAAAGCTTTTTTAAAAATTGGACACGTCAGATAACACGAGCTTTTGGCCTTTGAACTATGGAACCGTGGAAAAACTTATATATACGAGCGAAATTAACAAAACGCATTCACATAAGGAGTCATTTTCATTTTCATTTTCATTTACCCCAATGCCGCAAAGGCTCCCACCTACGGTGGGGTAAGGAGGGGTCGGATGTACGCAGTCTTACCCCTATACTAAAGCACAGAGAGACTGTTTCCGGATGACCCATAGTGAAAATCGCGTCCAAAATTGCATGGACTGACTGCTACTTCATTACAAAGAAGCGCAGACAGTTTAGTGAGCCATTTTGCTTTATTCCATCATAATCTCAAGCCAAAAAATAATGAATCTTTGGCTCCATTGCAAATGATGGAAATTCACATAAGGGTGTTAATACTTAATATAATTAGCAAGATTAGGTGATTGATAACGGAAGCAAATGACCTTAAAGCAAATGACACAAAGGAATAGAGATATTGAATAGGATGTGACAGGCATGACCAATACGATGCATACCAGTAATAACGGAAGAATAGACAGAGTAATGAGTGATCTTAATGTGCATCTATGATTGAATGGGGAATAAGATAGCAGCTCCACTAGATAATCTTCAATATATTGTTCATAATGTTGGATTACTCGTAAGATAGAATGAAAAACATTAGTTAACATAGACGCATATTTTAAGATGAACATTTGATCATACATTCATACTTCAAAATATTAGATTATTCAATGAGGAATTTCTGTTTGAAACTGGTGCTCATAACTTCTGTACCACAGCACTTGACATAACTTCAATCAATCTATATGAATGGTACACAAGTGGACAGTAAAGATGGTACAGATGATTGTGATCTCAATCAGTGAAAATGAGAGTATTTTCCATTGATGATATGGTAAGGGAGAATCTAATATGTTTATTAGGTCAAGCTAGTCGTTGTGTAGTAAGCACTTCTACATATATAATGAAGTCCAACCTCCTAACTCCAAAGTGTTTGCATGTTGGAGGTCTTAAAAAGATGAGGCAATAGTTCAAAAATGTCTTGAAGTTGTAAAAATGACATTAGTTTCTAGACTTCATAAGCGCATGGTGTATGAAAACAAAACCATATCATGAAGCCATTTATGGATGACACATAGTTATCGGTCTGAAATAAGATTATTTAATAGCTGAGAGTGAGTTGACCATTATTTGAGTATTTTATATTTAACATGTAATGAGTACTATATATCAGAAAGAGTATATTTCATCCTCTCCAAGTCCTACGTCAGAGTCAGATATACTGGGTTTGTTTGGTTTTTTTAGATAAACATCTACATATTACTAAAAAATATGAGCTATTCATATTTAGTAATTAAAAACTCAAACAAAACATGTGAAGTAGATACAGACAAGTAAGGCCTGTAACACCAAATGTAACTAGGCACTAGAATTTAAATAGACAGGTAAAACATCACCTTAAATAGTCTTCTTCTTCAGCATCTATGTGTTCTTTAACAGGGTTCCTAAGCGCGTTTTAAGGCGTGCCTCACAGTGAAGTTCATAGTAAGTGTTGAGGCATACGCCCTTCTTGCAAGATAAGAAACTTACGCCCCCCAATCGTCAAGGTGTACGCCTTGGGGCATGCTTTAAAGCGTCATTTTGAGGTGCTGTTAGTTTACTGTGAGATAAAAACTAATAATGAGGACTAAAGTGTAAATTTCAGATTTGGACTAATCTTCCAGATTTCCTAATTGAGTAATTTGTGGGTTTCTGTTAATAATGACCTGGGATTTCAAACGCTGATGTATTTTTTTTTGTGTCAACCTTCATTTTGATTAATGCTGTGTAATGATGTGATCCAGTCATGTGTTTGTGTTTGAGACTCCTCGACTTATAATTATGCACATTGTTACTTATAAGTTATTATGTTACTATTAACGTACTAAAAGAATTATTTTGTAGTATATTTTGATGCTTATGCCCCAAGGCTTTGCCTCCATCCCAACTAGCCTTTCGAAAATTTGTTCTATAATGGATAAGATAACAAAGAGTTTGGAGGGGGGATAAAGCAAGATATAGCTTACACAGAAGGAAAAAAATACTCAAACAGGCTGGAGAAGCAAGCAAGGCATTGAATTTCCTTAGGATCAGTTTTATATTTAGATGTTCAATATAGTTAGTGTTTTAGTTAGTTTGTTATTCAGTAGTATTAGTATTTCATTAGTTTATTCTTTTAAATGTCTTATTAGGGTAAGTTATCCTTTATCAGTTAGTATTAGACAATTGCTAGTACTTTATTTGCTTTGAGTCTTCGTACCATTTCCCATAAAAGGAAGAACTAATGGTGTGGAATATAAGCAGACACTTAGTAATTCACAATGGACTCTAAAAGAGACTTATTTTTAGCGGGCTTATGGGCATAAGCTTACCCACTCCACTATCACAGTCTCTGTGGCTCTGCCGATATAAAAGTGATGTCCTCTGTTGTTGACTACTATGGGATATGAGAGCATTTGGAGATTATCTCTTAGTTCATGTTACCAGCTGGTAATTTTAGATTACAGTTCAATACTTCATTGGCTTTGGCTATTATAATTACCATCATAATGAACTCCAAATGATTGGCACAGCTGCATAAGCTAATATTTTCCTCAATTTCCCCCATTAGAAGTGAAAAGCCTTTCAGGGTGACTCCAAAACAAAAAACGCAAGCTTCTATCCACTTTCCCTATCTTTTTTTAGAAATTTGAGTATTTGACTATATCCCGAAAAATAAATTACACATGCACACAAGCAATATCAAACCAAAGTCCTTTCATACAAGGAAATAAGGTGAGAGACATCAAAGAGAGCTGCCAGCCTGCCGCCAATAGAGGAAATATTAATGTCATGGGGTGTCTGGAATCGAAGGTGGTATTTGAAAAATAAAAAAGAGGCAGCAGCAACCAGACCCACCACTGCCACATTGCTGAAGCCACATTGCTTCTTTTACACAGTGCAGGTTAATAACCATAAGAAAATTTTGAAACTGTGTGCGCATGTAGTCCCAAGCAACAAGCTCAAAACCAATACCTAGTTAATATTAACAATAATTGTAATTAGAGAGTAATGTTATGATTCTTTCTTCAACGTGATCAAGATTTTAATTAGCTTTTAAAATATGTCCTCTGTAGCAACTTGGTTTTTTAAAAGCTCTTGGAGCATGAAGATGGAATATTGAAGACGAATGTTAGGTGAAAGATGCTCCAAAGGACTTTTTATTAAAACATCTTTACGAAATTAGGCTTTAAATTCTTCCCATTGAGAAACAAGTCAGCAACTTCACTTTTACTCTAAATGACACCTGGAAATTGGGTGATAGCATTGGTCAACAAGTTCACTTTTACTCTAAATGACACCTGGAAATTGGGTGATAGCATTGGTCAACAAAGTATTCAAGCAATGAGTCGCCACTTTCACGTCCAAAATTACAATTTTACATAACATTAAAACAGCCCATGTTAATAGCTTGAATTTAGCAACCAGCATGCCATAAATTCAAATATGAAGACGTGATGCCGATTACCATCAAGCAGTCATACAAACTGGGATAAGATTTAAAATAATAAGGTGACAGGCAGATTGATATGCATAAATTATCAATACATAAAAGGAATTTGCAAATGTTAGGAAGATCATGCTTTATTGGATAAGCAAGCACTTTGTAGCAAACGGGCTGTTGTGTCAGGACTCAGGATTTGTGATGCCTTACCAAAGTCTAATGTGACTACACATTAGAACAAGACAAAAAAAAAAAACTTTTCTTTAATGAGAATGAATTATCACCGCACTTGCCTATCTATGTAACTAGACAAGTAATAAGCAAGCTAAAAGAATGTGAAAAATCCTTAAATATGAGTAAAACATAGCACATTTACTCAAATAGGACTGCCCTTGGTTTCTTCATTTTCCTAAAATATGACTCAATCACTCCTAAGAGGAAGTTTTTATTGGTTTTATTCGTTTAATAGACCTAAACAAGACAAAGAAAATACCTACCGCCCACAATTCCTGACTTGCTGGAAATCTGATAAAAATGGTTTACTGGATGAATTATTTGCTGTAAAAATCCAGACGAATTAAATTTCTGGCCTGCCCACATTAAAATTTCAGGAAACCCAGGCTAGGAAAAGGATGGAATGCTCGAAGCATTAAAAGAATTGTGCATATAACGAATCAATATGTAAACTAATGCGAAAATGCGGGCCGATACAAGATGGGTGGTAAGGCTAGGAGGAAACCTGCCAAACACGGCGGAGGCGCTTCTTGGCGTTGGCCTTACGAGTGGTGGTGAGCTTTATTCTCTTCCAAACGAGGCCGCCGGAGTCGTGCTTCTTCACTATTTCCATCACCCTTGTTCCCCAGAATGCCCCCCACGCGGATGCCATCAGCTTCAAGTCTCTGTTTCCGTCGCTGTGCCACTGTAGAATTGCTAGTTTTTGCCTCTTAATCGTTGCGAAGTTTTCTTGGGAATTTTCACAGGGTCCGTTTGGTCCATTGGAAAATCGATTCTTTTTACCCGTCCGTAATAAATAAATATTGGAGTAGACGTTGTTTATTTTGGTGAAAAACTATGTTCAAATCGGACCAGGAAACGACCCAGCCGAATGACCGGGTCACGGGTCAATCCGGTCTCTGTTTCAGTAACGTCGAAAAAACTGGTCAATATTGACCAAAAATTATAACATAAATTATATGAAGCATATAATTTTACATCAAATAAAAATTGAAAAGACAAAATTATGTCAATCATAATTTAATTTTGATGATACAAGATAAATATAAAAATAAAATTATCGTTCTAAATATATACTTTTTAACAAAATTTTAAATGTATTTGACATTAGATAAATAGTATCATGAATATAACATTTAATAAAAAATTATAAATATCATATTGGTATTTTTTTCTACATTTAATTAGCAAAAAACCTTAATTAAACAATTTATTAATACAAATGTTATAATAATATATTAATACGAGTTAAAGTGAGAAAAAGCAAACAACCTAAATTAGTGTTATGGAATAGGTGCCACTATATGTCCAGGAGAAGCACATATGATTCCCAACAGCAACATAATCCTCACTTGGGACCGGGTTTTTACTCTTTTTCGGGCTACGACGGTTCAGATTCCGGACCAGGTCTGTACAGATCATCGGGTATTTCCGGTTTTCAACACATTAGCGGGTTGGTCGGTAACCGGACCAAAATGTGCTCCGGGTCGCCTAGTTCCGGGTCAAACCGGCCGGTCCGGTTCTTTAAACACAAGTGAAAAACACTCTGTTTTTTTCAAAAACATTCTTTTCTTCTCGACTAGAATCTAGATTAAGCATGTATTTTGCATCCCGGTTTCATTGGCCAGTTTTGTTTAAAGTCATAATTAACTACTGAATAATGATACTAGTAGTTAAATCTAATAAGCTCAAATAAATAATCATGGTTCAAAGATAATGAAATACAACCAGGAGGAAATTGATGTCTAATATTGCAACCAAACACGAAACCAGCCGCCTTAGCAAGATCGTGCGCTACTCAGTTTGTTGATCGCTTCATATGAGCTAAATTAATACTAATAAAAGTATTTGAGAGCTCTCTAATATCTTCCATGAATCCATCATAACACCAAATGTTGAATCCTCATCCCTCGTTGAATAGCTTTCATTCGATCCACATCTATGAAATCACATCCCGCTTCCTTAACACAAATGAGTGCTTCCCTCATTGACAATGCCTCCGCCTCCCTTGGTGAGCATTCCCCCTTCGGTTGATTGCACCTCCTATTTAAAAAGCACACTCTCTATTTCTCACCACACAACCTGTATCAATACTGTTGAAACCTTGCTTAGCCGCAGCGTCCGTATTTACTCTGTAATTACTCTAACCCTTCATGTCTTCTTCGGCTTCACCCAACAGCCAGGTGGCTATCCTTGTTGTTGCGGCATATTCTCTACTTTTTTAACTTTCATTTCTCGCCCTCCAGATCCCCCACAGAAGATATCTATTAAATTTCAAGAATCAAAATGTATAAAAGTAATGAATATTAAAACAAAATTGATCATATTAATAATAATATGTAATCATATTAATAATAATATGTAATGTCTGATAGAGACGGATGAAGAATTGTGTACTAAGTGGTACGTATAAAGTACACAACTATTATTTTTATGTAAGTGTTTTTTTATTTTTTGCCACTTAATCAAATAGTGTCAATCAATTTTAATTTAAGCAATACCCTTTTTAAGAAATGTGATTTTTCATTGATTAAAACAGTATGTAGTATATTGTAATACGTTACACGATTCTCACAATGGTCTTGAACAAATCATCGATTATTAACATTTTACTCGACACCATTGGGCATGTAAAATAGAGGAATAAGAGAGTATAGTTGCAGGTTTTTACAAGAACAAATCATACTCTTAAGTAAATCATAAACTTTGAAAAAATATAGATGTACTTTTGTGTTTATTTATTTACCATTATAGTAGACAGAGGTAGATCAATATGTCTTATCAAAGAAATACATATAGTATAGAAAAGTTGTAACACTACCAAAAATAACGGTATTAGCACTGATTTGGAACGGGTCTTTGGCAACGATTTGCCAAAAAATGGAGGGGATTTGTAATGAATTTGAAATGGATATGTGGATCCCTACAAGACTGGTTCCAAATATGTGCCAATGCAGTTTTCGAATGAGCTACCTGATCATGTCGTGCCAAAAATATGTTATGATCCGTGTCAAATAACTCGATCAATTTTTGTGAATTCCGTGCAAATACCATTGTTTTTTTGTAGTCTAAAGTAATTCATTGACACTATGATATTAAAAATGGCATATCCTAAACAATGGGAGATATTTATTAATTTGGATATTTTTAGAAGAGATTCATATGTGTCATTTATTTATTTAACAATTATAAATTAGACATGTGGTTAGATGAAAAAATGTATAGTACATACAAGTTTCTCTCTCAAATGTAAACCATTAGTATACCATTATCATTGCTATACAAATAATTTTACTCAAAGTACACATTTAGTATACTACTAGCATTACTCTACATATAATATCGAGAAAATATTGGACATCAATGTTTCAAATTTTAGTTTTTTAGTATTATGGTATACACTTCGTGAGTCAAAAACTTATCACACAATAATTTTACGATATTGTATTAGAACAATGATGTTGTGTGTTACACAAGGATGAATTATTACCAACAATCATTAATCTAGATGAACTATGTTGTCAATTTTTCTGGAACAATTATTATGATCATTTATTTTCTATGTATCGGTTGAAATTCCTGAAATTGGTGAAAATCTGTTTAGAACCGTTGAATTGGTTGGTGATGGATTAAGAAAAATTAGCTAAAATAATCATCTATAATAACTTCGGCCAATTCAGCCAGAAAAGTAACTTTGACCTTGTTTATTTTGATTACTATACAATGTTGGCATAGCCTTTATATTACCAGTCTCATTTTGATCCAGAGATGTTGACTAGTTACTAATGTTAGAGGACTTATGTCGGATTCTAAACTATTTATCTACAACTTCAAATATGAGTTTTTTGTCCAAAAAATTTTCAATCTGAAGTAAGGTAAAAGAAGTTTAGCAGTGTGTTTAGAAACTGTTCATTTTTGTATTAATAAATAATATGTTTATGATTGAGAACTCCAATTTCTAGCCCCAAATTTATTTAGTTCCACATGTTGGGAAGCTTAGAAAACTTAAGTATATAATTAGAATAACAATATTTGAGAGATAAGGAAGACAAAACTTGTGATAGATGACGATGCCTGAACCTTTATTATTAATATTGTACTTAATCTTGAATAAAAAAGTGATTAGTTGTGATTATAATTTTGTTGATGATTTAGGGGTGAGAAATGAGGACAAGAGAGCGAAAATGTTTCTGCTTATTAGAGTAAAGAGCTAGAGAATGATGTGAAACTAATTATCTGTGAATGAATGAGGATTAAGGTCATGTAATAATAAGATGGTTAATTATTAAGTCAGTAATTTACGAAGTAACAATAGTATGACTAAAGTCAGACACAATGAATTCCAAAGCGTACTAGTGACAGTTTACCTTGTTTATGGTTTTTTTGTGTTAGTGACAGTCTTGAGACATTTAATTTAGCTATGCTCATAAGTATCAAGATCACTAGGGCTTTTAATTTCTTTGAATCTTTTGTATATTAAGCAAAAAGTTTCGTTCAATTTTTTGTGAACTTTTCTATGATTGATCAGAGACTGAGGAGACCTTTCAGGTAATATGAGTTAATTGAAGTGGTTAAGAGTACGGTGATCTTCAAAGTCAATAAAAACACTATGTTGTCAATTTGGTGGTCAGTCATTTGCACCGCTTCTGTGAATGAGATCGTCTTAGAATATGATCGTAAGCCTCAAATTTATTTAGTTCCACATGTTGGGAAGCTTAGAAAACTCAAGTATATAATTAGAATAACAATATTTGAGAGATAAGGAAGACAAAACTTGTGATAGATGACAATGCCTGAACCTTTATTATTAATATTGTACTTAATCTTGAATAAAAAAGTGATTAGTTGTGATTATAATTTTGTTGATGATTTAGGGGTGAGAAATGAGGACAAGAGAGCGAAAATGTTTCTGCTTATTAGAGTAAAGAGCTAGAGAATGATGTGAAACTAATTATCTGTGAATGAATGAGGATTAAGGTCATGTAATAATAAGATGGTTAATTATTAAGTCAGTAATTTACGAAGTAACAATAGTATGAGTAAAGTCAGACACAATGAATTCCAAAGCGTACTAGTGACAGTTTACCTTGTTTATGGTTTTTTTTGTGTTAGTGGCAGTCTTGAGACATTTAGTTTAGCTATGCTCATAAGTATCAAGATCACTAGGGCTTTTAATTGCTTTGAATCTTTTGTATATTAAGCAAAAAGTTTCATTCGATTTTTTGTGAACTTTTCTATGATTGATCAGAGACTGAGGAGACCTTTCAGCTAATATGAGTTAACTAAAGTGGTTAAGAGTACGGTGACCTTCAAAGTCAATAAAAACACTATGTTGTCAATTTGGTGGTCAGTCATTTGCACCGCTTCTGTGAATGAGATCGTCTTAGAATATGATCGTAAGACGTGTCTTGAGTCCAGGGATGGAGGGTGTTCAAGATATAGGGTAAAATTTTTGAGCTATTGGCTAGATGTAACTCTTGATTCATTTGGTATTTTAATATAAGTTATCAGGAAACACCCCACCTATATTTTGGCGGTGAGGGTCAGGAAACACCCCACCTATTTATTAAAAAAGCGGAAAGTAGGAGGATAAAACCAAAGCCTACTCAAAAAAAAAATCACAAAACATAAGGGAAACTAATAGCGTCAAACTTAAGAATACCAACAAGTTATTTAAAATGATGACTACTAACTTTAATTGATATGTTATGGTAAGCAACAAACTCTGCAGCTCTATTAATTTTTGGACTAATGTGGGTGACTGACCAAGTGTTGGTGCTGA